GATTTATCTAATTTCCATTTTATCTAGGTAGGTCACCTGTGGATTAAGATGTTCTTCATTATCAAATTCTGAATCAAGGTCAGCAGAGCCTTTATGACCCCAGGGTGTTGCCCACCTCATCCGATCCCGAACCTACCTGCATTTAATTATTGGCCTCACCCAAGGTGGGGTGGACTGAGAGTATAGGTAGTATGACTATACAGAATTGATGCTGAAATAGTCTAGTAGGCAATAAACACTGGAGATTAGATTATCTCAAGTCTGGAGATCGAAGGTTAAGATTGTTACCACTAAATTTATGATTTGGATATTACTGTTTCCTAATCCTGGTGATCCTGTTTGCTTTAGGATGGCAATTCAAAGAGTCTTCTTAGATTTAGGCTTTATACTGAAACTGGATACTAGAACTGTTTGAATTTTTAGTGTGAGAGATTAGTGGTGAGGAAATCCAGGACATTGGGCTTGAGGTTAAATTGAACTTTTAGTTCCCTGCTCTCTGCCTTTGCCTGAACGACTATTTTTATATTCAGTTGTGCAAAGGTTGATTTAAAAAAATAGCATATGTAAAAATGAGGCTCCTGCTACTTCCTGTTTGATGATATTACAGGTGATGAAAACAAATTAAACTAACTTAGCCACTACATTATAATTTACCTGAAGTAATGGGGCTTCAAACATATTCTTTGAAAGGTGCTCCTTATGCAAATCAATTTTTTTGTACTCCTGTAGCAATTTGCATTAGATAGCTCCTCTGTAAATAGTTGCTGGGGACATGATTCTGAGTTGTTTTGCCCTTTTCTGCAACCCCTGAGGTATCTCCTGTTGGCCTCTAGTGTTGCCAGTACTCAGGAAGCAGGACATACCAGTGCCCTCACTTGCCAGCATCTGTGTACAAACTCTTTTTCCTTTTTTCAGTCTTCCTCAATTGGCATGAAAAAATTAAAAAGTCAGTGGAGCATTCCTTCCATTATAATTCTTTGCAAAATATATCATTTTAGCAATATGGCAGAATTCCTAATGGTTTTATTTGAGTTTTCCATTATTTTTCTCATTAATTCAACCTTAATAAGTTTGTTGAAACTCTTTTTATGTACCCAAAGTTCATATACTATCTTGGTTTCTCTTGCCAATTCCATTTCATTTCCTTTCCCTTATCTCTAAATTTTGGAGTTTCCCAAGGATCAGTCCTTGGTTCTCTTCTCTTTTCTGTCCCATTCCCTAAGACAGTGATCTCATCCAGTCTCATGGCTTTAAATACCATCTGCATTGGCTCCCAAATCTATCTCTTCCTGTCCTTTCACCTCCAGAGCGGTATGTCCACGGGCCTACTTGTCTAATGGACATCCCTAACTTAATGTGTCTCTAACTGAGCTTTTTTTTTTTTTTTTTTGGCGGTACGCGGGCCTCTCACTGTTGTGGCCTCTCCCGTTGCGGAGCGTAGGCTCCGGACGTGCAGGCTTAGTGGCCATGGCTCACGGGCCCAGCTGCTCTGCGGCATGTGGGATCTTCCCGGACTGGGGCACAAACCCGTGTCCCCTGCATCGGCAGGCGGACTCTCAACCACTGCGCCACCAGGGAAGCCCTCTAACTGAGCTTTTCGTGGTCCCTCACAAGCCAGCTTCTTTTGCAGCCTTCCCTGTCTTCAGTTAATGCCAGTTCCATTGTTCTAGCTGCTTGGGCCAGAAATCTTGGTGCCATTTTTTACTTTTCTCTTTGTCTCACACCCAGCATCTGGTCTATCAGCAAATCCTGTTGGCTCTATCTCCAAAATGTATCCAGATTTGACCCTTTATCACCATTCCCTCTGCCATCATCCTGGTACACGCCACCATCTTTTGCCTGGTTCATAGAAGTGGCTTTCTAACTGGTCTCCCTACTTCTGCCTTTGCTTCCCTGTGGTCTGTTCTTAGCACACAGCCAGAGTAATCCTGTTAAAAATTCCATTAGGTCTTACAATTTTTCTGTTGAAAACCCTCCAACAGCTTTCCATCTCACTTAGAGAAAAGCTATAGGCCTTAACTATTATCTACTAGAACCTATGTGATCTGACCCTCTTTTACCTTTCCACTCTCATTTCCTACTATTCTCTTCCTTCTTCACTCTGTTCCAGCCACATGACCTCTTTTCTGTTCCTTGAACATGCTCTTCCTTCTACCTCAGAGCCCTTATACCTGCTGTTTACTCTATATAGAATAGTTTTTCCTGCTGATATCAGCAAAGATAGCTGTCTTACTTATTTTGCGTTTTTACTCACTGAAGCCTTCCCTAGACAACTTGTTTATCTTGTTTTTCTATCTAATACACTGGAATGTAATCTCCATGAGGATGGGGATTTTGTCATGTTTTGTGTACCACAGAAACCTTAGCACCTAAAAATGGTGCCTGGCATGTGGTAGATGCTCCACACATTTAAAATGAATGAATAAATGAATGAGCGAATGATTCTGATTTTCATATCTCTTTAAGAAGAAAATAGCTAACATAACTCCACTAAATGTAAAGTTATGTTGAAAGAAAGAAGGATGGAAGGATTGAAAGAAGTCTGGATAGAAAATAAGAAGCATCTGGAAAGTAATTCTAAATTTCTGAAATATAAAGCAATTCTATAAATGTATGAATAGCTGCACGACTTTATTTAAAGGACTACTTTAATATTTTTCCATGGAGGCAACAAAAATTAGCTACCACCATGAGTAGGAGACATTTGAACATCTAGCTGCGTTGTGAACCAGGAGGTGAAGTTCTGTCTTGGACTAAGAACTGTAGACAAATCTTTCAGATATCACTAAGTCATTGTGTAATTTAAGAGGGGTAACAATATGTTTTGGTTTCCCAGGGACAGTCTCAGTTTAACTCTTTTGTTAATTATTAATAGAGTGGGTTTTTATTCTTTAAAGGATCCCAGTTTGGATGATAAGTTATAAAGGCACCCTAAAGTTCAGGTACTTGCTTCTGAGTGATTATAGCATATATTGACATTCATGCATGGTAAGAAATCTGTAAATGCTATTTAACATTTATTGAGCATATTTCAGAGCTAGACTTTGTTAGGTTTAGGGCTATCAGGGTCTCAAGCATTTTCAGTCAGTCTTGGGTAGTGAAAATGGTTGAGCGTTGTAAGCTGAATCACATTTTTATAGGATAATGCTTAGATTTTTAGGGCCACAGACTTCATTGAGAATCTGATGAAACCTGTGAATCCACTTCCCAGAAAAACACATATACAAAATTTTTATAAATAATTTCTGGAAGTTTGTGACTTTCCAAACCCCCCTATTCTGGTATCTAACTGCTTTGAGAGAACACCTTTCAGGGATACTATTGCACTAGTTAAACCTTGATTATCTGGCACATAACTGGAACCCTTAAGAAAACCATAATTTTCTCAATGCCAATATAAGTACATGTAGAAATGTTTATTTAGATAAGTGATATTATGCTATATGTATTATTCTACAACTTAGGGTTCCATGTTAGTATATATAGATGTGCTTCATTTTTTTAAGTTCTGTATTTTGCAATTTGTCAAAAAATCAATATCAAAAAACAGTGTATAGGAAAGTTGCCTTATGAAACCTTAAGATAAGCAAAAAATACTGAAGAACATCTTTTTATAAAAAAATTCATTTATTTATTTAATTGGTTGTGCCAGGTCTTAGTTGCTGCAGGTGGGCTCCTTAGTTGCAGCTTGCTGGCTCCTTAGTTGCAGCAGTGAGCTCCTTAGTTGTGACATGTGGTCTCCTTAGTTGTGGCATGCGAATTCTTAGTTGCAGCATGCATGTGGGATCTAGTTCCCTGACCAGGGATCGAACCCAGGCCCCCTGCATTGGGAGCACAGAGTCTTATCCACTGCAGCACCAGGGAAGTCCCCCCAGATCATCTTAATCACAACAACTAAAGAGCATAGAACATGTCTTATTATTTATGGTGTAGAAATCTACATTGAATGTCCACACTAGCAAAAAACGTTAAAAATTAGCTCAGACCAACTTGCAAGATTCTGGCCTTAAGGGAATTTTTGAAGAGAATTCATCACCAAAAGCAAATGTACTCTGTGCAGACATTTTCTTAACTCAATAAAGAAAATAAGGAAATGTTGAGAAGAAGAAAGAATTCTTCATGGTGAAATCACTTAGTCACTGCTAACAATGCATTTTATTTCTCTTTTTCTTTCTATACATAAATTTTATTAGTTTGCATAAATTTTTACATGGTTTTAATCATACTGTATATATAAATTTGCATCCTGTATCATCCCTTTCCCCATTAATATTTTAATATTAAAATAGTTAATATTTTAACTGCTTACTTATTGCTTTAGGATAGACTTCCAGAAGAGGAATTACTAGGTCAAAAATTACGATTATTAAAAAAAATTTTTTTAAGTATTGCCACACTGGTTTTCAAAAGTATTATATTGATTAATACTTTAAGCAGTTGGGTTTGATATTACTTGCTTCACCATACTCATACTTGGATTGTGCATTATAATTTTAAAAATATTTGTGATTGCAAAATAAAGTAAAAACGTTTCTCACTGTTTTAATTTGCATTTCTTCCATTTTTGTGATATTGCACATTTTTCCATATACATATTACTAATCATATTTTATTATTAAAACATGATCTTGCAGCTTTAGAGGCCTCCATTTAGAGCTGATCATCCCCTTTTGAATAAAACTTTAATAGAGCACGTTCTGCATGTTCACAATGTTTAAGGAACAGTCATCCAGATTGCCATGTTGAAACTACCTCAAGATCTGAAAAAAGACTTTCCAAATGCTTAATTAATAGAAGAAAATTTTCACAGCAGGAAAATGTGACTTATTATTAAGAAGTATCTTCTACCTGAGGTGTGTCTAACTGTGTGTGTGTGTATTAGGTTTCACTGATTTTTTTGAATACCAGTAAACAGCAGGGTAATAGAAATTTGATATTTCTATTGGAACAGTTAACTTTTATTAAAATAATCTTATCTTAAATATTTTCTTCTTTTCAAGGTATCATAGACGTCGTAGGAAACTGAATCCTCCAAAAGACAGATGATATTGAGGTTTTCAGGAATCAAAGAGAAATGTTATCCTGCGTCTCATTTGCCATTTGAGAAAATACAATTGGGTATATTCACTAATACGTTATATAGTAAAATAATAAAATGTCTTCTCATACATTAGAATGTGTATTTCTTTATATATTAAGTAGTTGTGGATTTCACATTCTTATTTACAGAAGCCTATTTTTATTTTCCTTTTGAGTTATTAAAGTCTACTATTTATTTTTATGTGCCTAGTATGATTAAGTACTTTTACATTATCAACCAAATAGTAGTATAAATATGATTAATAAAAATGTGCATGATTCTCCTGAAGATTTTTAAACTGCCTTTGAAAAGAAACTCATGAGATCCACACAGAAAATAGATGTTACAATGTTTCCGTTTTTGTGGCTCTAGGAAATAATTAGTTACATTTTAATCGGTTTCTACTACCTGCTAGGTCTTTAGTTTACATTATTATTAAATTCTCACAATAATCCTTTGAAGAAAGTGCATCATCCCCATTTTACAGATAAGGCTAAGTGACTTGAAGCCTACCTACCTAGCAAATGGGAGAGCCAGGATCCAAACTGTCCAGAGCCTTTTTTACAAGGCATCACTATGACAAGAGGTGTTTTCTTTCACCCAAGAATGTGCTTTCCTAGAAAGAATATTATTCATTTTGAGATTTTTTTTCTGGCTGTCTTAAAAATTATGCTTGCTTCAGAGCACATACAATTCTGTGATTTAAATGTTAATATTACTAAACTGGTCTTACAAAAATGTTAATAGTCTGTTCTGTTGATTATCCCTACCAGCTTATATATGATCCTTAATAGCATTGATGCCCCTGTGATTTCTATTTAGGAGGTGAGGAGTCTTTATTAAGAAGGTGAAAAGGCGCCTTATTCAAACTTGTGCAATATTTGTGATATTTTAAAATTTGGTGTGAAAAATGATTTCACATTCAAAGTCTATTGCTTAATCTAGTTCTTTGAATAAAGGAAGGTGAAGGGTCAAGTGTTGAGTAAAATGTAAGGAATAGTGAATAGGAAAGAGTAAAGAAAATAATTAATAATGGCCACCCTCTATTACAGAAAGGAAGTGTTTTTAGGTGGTTTATGCTCTTTTCATTAATATATTATTCATTTGGGGGGAAAGATCAAAGGAAAAACAAGTCAATAGAATTTGATAATCAGAAATATTAACTGGCTGTGTTTGGTGACATAGCTTTGAAAAGTTTTTTTCTGGTTGATTTATATCCAAATTTTTACAAAGATTGAGATATGCCATGTTATAAAAGTAGGAAGAATAAAAACTAAATTAATTAAATAACACATTTTCTTCTACAAGGATCTACTAAATAGAGATTGTTCAATTGTAAGATGCCCAAACCACACATTCACATGTCAGTGCTTTGGAGAATTAACTTAGTTTTTGTTGTACTGGAAATATATACATTGTAGTTAACATTGTAGTTCCTGGAATTTTGGTCTTCGTGAGTTGCTGAATAAGTGCGTATTTCATCACCACTATCACTTCCCCTCTGCTTCTCCACCTCAGAGGAGTAACCTATTATCCACGATCACTAACACTTTGTGAAAGGTCAGTTTGTTCTTTTCAGAAATTTAAAAAGTACATAAAGTCTGATGGTTCTTTAAATGGAATAAATTTAGCTTCATGAAAATCTTACTACCCAGTTCTTACTCTCATATTTCCTTCCATTGGTGAGGTGGATTAACACACTTCAAATTGATAAAAAGCATTGTCAGTGAAACCACGAGAGGGCACTCTCACATAGGGTTTAATTTGAACATTCCTCAACCAAAGGATAGTGACTTAACATTTCAACAGACAATATGTGGATTTCTTTAGGTAAGAATGACTAGTAGAGTAAATAACCTAGTGAAATTAAGTGAGGCCGTTATTGTATTCATTCTGTTGATCTAGTCATTAAGCATTTATTGAACCCCTACTACATATGGAGAGGCATTATACTTTTTGGCAGGCCAATAACAAAAAATGGGCCCTTCTTATGGAGCATAATATCTATTTAACTAGTATCTATTGAGCTACTTAACTTTTCTAATGACGTTGCTTTTTCTTTTTTTGTTTAATTAATTAATCTTTGGCTGTGTTGGGTCTTTGTTGCTGCGCGTGGGCTTTCTCTAGTTGCAGCGATGGGGGCTACACTTCATAGCGGTGCACGGGCTTCTCCTCTCGGTGGCTTCTCTTGTTGCGGAGCACAGGCTCTAGGTGCACCGGCTTCAGTAGTTCTGGCACACGGGCTCAGTAGTTGTGGCTTGTGGGCTCTAGAACACAGGCTTAGTAGTTGTGGCACATGGGCCCAGCCACTCCTCAGCATGTGGAATCTTCCCGGACCAGGGATCCAACCCGCGTCCCATGCACTGGCAGGTGGATTCCTAACCACTGCACCACCAGGGAAGTCCGACGTTGCTTTTTAAACATGAGTATAATGCATCATTTTTTTAAATTAGAGACTAAATAAATAGAAAATAAAATTACCCATAATTGCCCCCAGCTAAAGATAGCACTAACATTTTTGCTACCTTTCTTTCTTGTTATTGTGCTGCATAAATATATTTCAAAAATAATTGTATTTATTATGCATGTTGTTTTATAACTTGCTTTTTCACTTAATATCATGAATTTTTTTTTGCCATATCAGTAAATAGCCTCATTTAATGGATTCATATTATTTTATAATCTAGATTGTCATAATTTAATTAACTCCGTACTGTTAGACATAATCGTTGTTTCTGTTTATTCCCTGTTAGGAAGAATGCTGTTATTAACATCCTGGTAGATACTTTTTCATTTTATTGAAAGCCGTTTTATTTTTTAAAAATTTTATTCTAATATAGTTGATTTACAATGTTGTGTTAGTTTCAGGTGTACAGCAAAGTGAATCAGTTATACATATATATATATATCCATTCTTTCTCAGATTCTTTACCTATATAGGTTATTACAGAATACTGAGAAGAGTTCCCTGTGCTATACAGTAGGTCCTTGTTAGTTATCTATTTTATATATAGTAGTGTGTATATGTTAATCCCAATCTCCTGATTTATCACCTGCCCCCATGTTTCCCCTTTGGTAACCATAAGTTTGATTTCGAGGTCTGTGAGTCTGTTTCTGTTTTGTAAATAAGTTCATTTGTATCACTTTTTAAATTAGATTCTACATATAGATGTGCTATTATATGATACTCTTCTTTCTCTGTCTGACTTCATTTAGCATGGTAATCTCTAGGTCCATCCATGTTGCTGCAAATGGCATTATTTCATTCTTTTTTATGACTGAGTAAAATTCCATTGTATATATGTAACCACATCTTCTTTATCTGTTCCTCTGTCAGTGGACATTTAGGTGGCTCCCATGTCTTGACTATTGTAAATAGTCCTGTAGTGAACATTGGGGTGCATGTATCTTTTCGAATTATGTTTTTCCCCAGATATATACCCGGGAGTGGGATTGCTAGATGATATGGTAGTTCTATTTTTAGTTTTTTAAGGAACCTCTGTACTGTTCTCCATAATGGTTGTACCAGTTTACATTCCAAGAACAGTGTAGGATCTCCACACCCTCTCCAGCATTTATTGTTTGTAGATTTTTTGATAATGGCCATTCTGACCAGTGTGAGGTGGTACTTCATTGTAGTTTTGATTTGCGTTTCTCTAATAATTAGAGACGTTGAGCTCTTTTCATGTGCCTGTTGGCCATCTGTATTTCTTCTTTCGAGAAATGTCTATTTAGGTCTTCTGCCCATTTTTCGATTGGGTTGTTTGTTTTTTTGTTGTCATTTCTGTCCCTTTATTTTTAACCTACATGTGTCTTTATGTTTAAAATAGGTTTCTTGCAGACAGCATATAGTTGGTCTTGTTTTCTGATCCACTCTGACAATGTCTGTCTTTTAATCAGTGCATTTAGACCATTGACATTCAAAGTGATTATTGTATTGATATAGTTGGAATACTATCTGCCATATTTGTTACCGTTCTCTATTTGTTGCCCTTGTTCTTTGTTCTTATTTTTGTCTTCTACTCTTTTTTTTTTGTTTTGTTTTTTGCGGTACGCGGGCCTCTCACTGTTGTGGCCTCTCCCGTTGCGGAGCACAGGCTCCGGACGTGCAGGCTCAGCGGCCATGGCTCACGGGCCCAGCTGTTCCACGGCATGTGGGATCTTCCCGGACCAGGGCAAAAACCCGTGTCCCCTACATTGGCAGGCAGACTCTCAACCACTGCGCCACCAGGCAAGCCCTCTTCTACTCTTTTTTGCCTTTGGTTTTAAATAATAATTTTATATGATTCTGTTTTCTCTTTCTTAGCATATTTCTCATACTTCTTTTTTTTTTTAGATCTTTTATAGTGATTGCCATAGAGCTTGCAATATATATTTGCAACTAAGCCAAGTCCACCCCATACTGCTGGATTATTTTGTTATTATAAGGTTCTTGCACTACCCCATAACCCTATACTGCTTCATGGGTAGTTAGTGAAAGAACCTTATAATAACAAAATAATCCCAATTCCTCCCTTCTATCCCTTATATCATTGCTGTCATTCATTTCTCATACACAAGCATATATATGCATAATCAAATACATCAGTATTATTTTTATTTATTTATTTATTTGGTTGCACCGGGTCTTAGTTGCTCCCTGGTGGGCTGCTTAGTTGTGGCTCTCTGGCTCCGTAGTTGCAGCACGTGGGCTCCTTAGTTGCGGCTCTCCGGCTCCTTAGTTGTGGCATGCGAACTCTTAGTTGCAGCATGCATGTGGGATCTAGTTCCTTGACTGGGGATTGAACCTGGGCCCCCTGTATTGGGAGTGTGGAGTCTTAACCACTGAACTGTCAGGGAAGTTCCAAAAAAAGTTTTTATTTCACCTTCACTTATTCCTTCTCCACTGCTCTTCCTTTCTTTATGTAGATCTGCATTTCTGACCTATATCACTTTACTTTTCTCTAAAGAACTTCTTTTAGCATTTTTCACAAGGC